CATTTGTCTTTGTATGATGAATGTTCTGGTTGAGTGATAGCAACTATTAGTCACTGAATAGATACTATTAGTTAGTAATTAGTTTGTTTTTATTTTACGGTTTAATTGCATCCACTCTAGTGCCCTTGCTTAAATCAATAAACTCTATTCACATGCGGTGTCCGTAGGCATTGAGCCGCCAAGAGCAAGCAAGTCTTCTGCCTATCTCTTACTAATCAGGTCGTGATATAATTGACCACAACCAAACATTTTTTTAAGTTTGACATTCTTTTCATTTCATGATAGTGCCGCCATCTATCGTAGTCACACCTCATGAAAGGTCAATACGGATAGAATGGACGATAAAGACTTGTTCCGCCACAAACCCTATCACAGCTTTTAAGGTGAAGGTTGGAAGTAATATGACAACAATGCAGAGCAATAAAACTAGAAGCTATATCTGGGCCAATCTAAAGCCATTCACTGTATACCATGTGTCAGTGGGAGCAAAAACCCAAAATGGATCAACGTGGAGTGAGGTGAAAAAGATTAGAACTTTAGTAGCAGGTAGCTCAATAATACACCTTTTTACTTCTTTGAAAATAATGTGGATCATTATGCAAATTATTTTTCTAACCCATGTATACCACCCGAAACCATTGCCTTGCGACTAATTATAAAACGTATTTATTATTTATTTGTTTTTCTACCAAAGAGCCTGAGATTGCACCAACATACAAAGTTGCGCGTTCAACCTCGTCGGAGACAATACAATTGGAATGGACGGTAATGCAATTATTTTATATATTGTATTCTACAGAGTACAATTAACGATTTAATTGTACTCCTCTTGTTCAATCAGAAACGAGTAATTTCATTGAGGATATTATAAACCCCTTAGGGCCGGCTTAGACGGTACGATTTTCGCCTACAACTATCGTATACAACACTCTCGCGTCTGTCGTAGGCGAGTTGTAGGCTTGCTTTACGCGCTACGACTCGAGTTGTAGCATGGCGCGAGCGTGTTGTATACGATAGCTGTAGGCGAAAATCGTACCGTCTAAACCGGCCTTTACATAGTCAAATTTAAAAATCCTTTATTTGCTTGGCTCTCAGCTCCTTAACGCGCAAATCCCTTAACAATATTGAAAAATATCTGGAATTATACTTAAAGCAATGACACCTATAGATCAAAATGAAAAATTGATCACGCCAAAAAAACACATAAGTTTTTCGAGCAAAAAGCCTAAAACAATATAATAAAAGATCATGTAAAATTGTACATATAAGGGTATAGCCCAGAGTGTTACCCCTTAAAGTTTATACTTGGATTTTTTAACTCTAYCWTCCACTTTTTATTTCATTTGTGTCTTTTTAAAATTTTGATGGAATTGAAGATAACACAACCTGATAAGATCAACGGTCCACTCAAGGGATACATTATAACCTACACACCACAAGGAGGAGAGAACAAGACAGTTGACGTGGGTAATGTCACAAGATCTACCCTGACGAAACTGCTCACGTATACAACTTACGTCATCACTATAGCAGTCTATAATGGAAAATACACTGGTACATCAAGTAATAAGCGAAGAGTGAGAACAATGGAGGATGGTGAGATCAAACTATTATCGCTTTATTTTTTGCGACGGCACTTTTAGAAAATCAAATTAGATTATGAACCGTAAAAATTTCACGAAGTTGGTACGAAATCAATTGTTGTTCAATCACAAATTAGTTATTTTGCATAAAGATATCTCATACTATAGTTTTTTTTTTAATAGTAAGTAGCTTACAGCATTTAAGCCTATGCATTTTCCACTTTCTCTCGTTAAGTCTGGTTCACACGAATTGGTATGCGCATTTCAAATACAAAGGCAAAACCGCAAGCGCAAGCAATATTCGCACGTTAAATGCTTYCAACATGCAGGTTTAAAAACGCAAATGCAAACGCAGGGACATGATATTTTTTTCTCCCATTCCTTGTGTTGGCATTTGCATTTGCGTTGCCAATAGAACCACGCTCTATCTATTTTTAAACTGTCCTAAGTTAAAACCAAGTAATATGTTTAATGAAGTAGGAGTAAACAAATGACAAAGTTGGTTTTGCTAAACCAATTTAAAAAATAAGACTCACTTATGTCAGAATTTATGACTTCTCAGAGCTTATGTGCATTAGACAAAAAATYAAAAATGCAGTGATAAATTCTTTACTCTGCATGACACAATCTTATTACGGGAGTACCACAACGAGATTCAGACTATTTAGTGACAAAATCTATTCTTGTTCAGGATGCAAACTACCCAACTTCATCTGTTATATCGACTGGACAATGTTTAAATAGTTATGCTTTTTTTAAATTCTTTTTAGCTCCTTCTGTCCCAAGKAATGTTCGTGTTACTTTGCAAAAAGCAAATGGTTTACTAAGACCWCGAGTTCTTATCACGTGGGATAAACCACTTCTCCCAAACGGCAACATCAGGAACTACGCTATTATATACTACTATAATAACGGTGCATCCAACAAGATTCTAGTTACCCCTAAAGCTGGCATTACACATTCTCACAATTATACTGTTACCGTAATGTCTAGCGGAACCTTCTCGTACAAGATTAGAGCATCTACTATAAAGGAAGGTCCTTATGCTGCTGTGAAAAGAATTACCATCCCTAAATACAGTAAGTATTAGTTGATTTGCATGCAGTTAAGGTGGCTAGGTATATCCAAATGGCCGACTCGCTTATGTCGTTTTTGGACTCATAACTTTTGCGCCCTTTTAGACAATTGCCATAAAACTTTACAAACATCTAATACAATCATTTAGTTATAGTATGGTATATTCTGATTGCATTTCAGGTTAATAATTTGTAAGATGTAAGCGATTAAGCAAATGCACTGTTTTCACAAAAACTCGATTTTGCGAAAAATCTGTCCGTTTTATTTCGACGAAAATTTTGGGATCCTTTTAGATAAACATAACACACAACTTTGCCAAGTTTAAAGAAATTCCTTGGCGCTGAAATATCGCTACAGAAAGCTCACCTAAATTCACCATTGTGATAATCTTTTAAAGTTGTGAACTAAATAGTCTTTGACTGAACATGCTTGACAGCCATAGTTTTTAAAAAGTAACGGCAATTTAACATATGTCCAAATGTCATACCGCGATTGCCAATCAGGCTGACAGTTTCAAAGTATTTTAAAGTAACGTTAATGTAATAAAAAGCTCAAATACCTGCTTTGGTCCAAGAAGTTGCGTTTTCTTCAATTTAGTTCGTAATTATCTAGAATTGTTCAGTCATAATTTGCCCACATAAATTTCAAGGTACTGTGATGAATTACCATCGAATTTAGCTGCTGTTTAYCGCTTTGAATAAGAGAAATAACGTACTGGGTCAAACACTGTTCCGTGTCGAAGCTCAGTCGAAGTTCTTTGCTGATTTGTTGTTGAATACGAAATGAGCATAAGGTGTAAAATATGTCCACAATTCACACGGGTGAAACACGGGGTGYTCGAGACGGTCTCACAAACAATATAGAAGAAATTTCATTTTGGATAATATGCATAAAATTAAGACCGTCTCAAACACTCCGTATTTCACCTGAAAAAAAGAAGAATGACATCAAAAAGTATTACTGTGTAAAATGTATAACAACACGAATTTTATTTGTCCTAAATG